ATATTAGGAAAAGGTTTTTGACTGTGAGGGTGGTGAGACACTGGAACAGTTTGCCCAGAGAGGTAGTGGATGCCCCAATCCTGGCAGTGTTCAAGGCTGGATGGGATGAGGCCCTGAGCAACCTGATCTAGTGAAGAGGTGTCCCTGTCCATGGCAGGGGAGTTGGGACTAGGTGATCTATAAATTCCAACCCTTAAAATTCTATGATCCTGTGGTTAACTTTAGTATTACTGTTTACTCTCCAACTGGATAAACTGCAGCTTCAGAAGGATGTCAATGCCCATGTCAAGATACTTAGAGCTGTGGTTGCACATGAGCCACAGAGAAGACAGAATCTTGAAGATTGTTCTAAAATACAGCAAGCAAAAAAAGGCAATGGGAGACAAAACTAACCCTCTTCTGGAAGGGTCTATGATTTAGCAGGAAGCTGAGAAGTGATTTTAAAAATGTTTCAGGATAATGTTTTTGCATTGAACACAATGAAATGGGGCTCGATGGGATCAGCCAGGGACTTGTCTCCATATATGCCATTTGTGCTTCCATGTGCAAAACATGCTTATGGTTGGGTGGCCAGGTTGGGCATTTCGGGTTGGTTTTGATTGTTTTAACATTAATTACATGGTGTCCTGTCCACTACCATTACTCATGGGGAAAAAGAAGTGCTAAGTAGGTATCCAGAAAAGAAAAAGCCAAAGGTGACAGAGACAAGTATCAACCTAGCCCTGAGCAGAAGTCAGAAGTCACTATACTGACCATGAATGTGGAAGGAAAAGCCATTTGCACTATCTGAAGTAGCCACATGTCCAAGCACTTATTCCCTTCAAAACACTATACCAGAAAATGTTAACTTGAAAGATCCATGTCTTTCTCTTCCAAACACACAAATTTCCATTTGAAGGCTGCTTTAAAGCCGAACTTAAACTGAAACTAATTAGCTCTTAAAACTGTTTCTAAAACAAGCAGTTCTCCCTACACATCCTCACTATCTCTTGTTTAGAAGATTTTTATTGGTTTAAACAGGTTGAGAACACTACTGAAAGCAAGACCAAAAAGGAATATTTATACATTACCAAGGTTTGGGGGAGTCAGATTATAGAATCATCATCCTCATAATGTTGGGGGGGTTTTATTACTACTATTTTTTTAACTACTTCAGAGAGGCTTGAATAAAATTTGAAGGTTTAATTTTTACTAAAATAGGACATTTGCATTTGGAGGCTTTTCAAGGCATTCTGTCCTGTGCCCTGTGGTTGCAGCACAGTCAAGGCATTGCTGCACTTTATAACATCTCTAAATCTGTGTAGTTAATACTGCTTGATTATTTAAGTTGCAGCATTGCATGAGCTGCATGTGGTATGCTAAGTGTTCTCTTAAAAGATAACTATTCTCCTTTTTTAAACGGAAGATCAAAGTCATAGTGGGGACCATGCAGTCATCTGTTCATAGAATCATCAAGGTTGGAGGAGACCTCCAAGATCATTGAGTCCAACCATTAACCTGCCACTCTGCTGGAAACCCTAAACAAGATCCTCCAGCACCAGATCCAGATGTCTCTTAAACACTTCCAGGGATGGTGACTCCACCACCTCCCTGGGCAGTCTATTCCAGTGCCTGAACACCCTAACAGGGAAAACATTTTTCCTAGCATCTAATCTGACTCTCACCTGACTCAATTTATGACCATTCCCTCTAGTCCTCTCCCTGCAGCCATGGCAGGAGAGATCATCCCCCACCTCTCTACAACCTCCTGTCAGGTAGTTGCAGAGAGCCATGAGGTCACTTTTGAGCCTCTTCTCAAGGCTAAACAACCCCAACTCCCTCAGCCCTTCCTCACACTACATGTGTTCTAGGCCTTTTATGAGTCTCATTGCCCTTGGCTAGACTCGTTCCAGCATCTCATAAGTGCCTGGTAAGTGTCTTCTTCATAAATACCATTTTAAACACACACTTTTTAGTGTAAGAATCAAACCTCCTTACTCTTTCAGCATTGAAAACAGTATGTATTCCCAAACGTGGCAAAGCTCAACTTTGTGACAGTGATTTAGTTCCATTATGTATTTCAGTTGTTCAAATATTCTGTCTTAGTATCATGAAGTTCAGTGCTACACATGGCAGCTATCATACTCAGATATAAAAGCCACCTTTGTCATCCTCAGTAAGTACACACAGTTTTCAGTGTTAGAAGATGTTTTTCATATGAGATGTTATACAACATTTATTAAATAACTACCCATTTCTTTCAGTCAAAAATAGGCTGGCTCCCATGATGATTAATCTGTGATTGAGGTGAAAAGTGTAAGGTCTTTTCTTCCTAGGCAGGGATTTCTGTTCTCAAGTAAAAAGTCATACAAACATGAAAAATATTAAAATACTTAGAAATTTTAGAATTAGTACCTAGCATCTAATCTGAATCTCCCCTTATGCCCATTTCCTCTAGCCCTTCCCCTGCAGCCATGGCAGGAGAGACATCCCCCACCTCTCTACAACCCCTGTCAGGGAGTTGTAGAGAGCCATGAGGTCACCCCTGAGCCTCTTCTCAAGGCTGAACAAACCCAACTCCCTCAGCCCTTTCTCAGGTGTTCTAGACCTTTTCTGAGCCTCACTGCCCTTGGCTGGACTCACTCCAGGGCCTCAATGTCCTTTTCAGAGTGATGGGCCCAAAACTGAACACAGCACTTGAGATGCGAACCCATCAGTGCCAAGTACAGAGGGACAATCTCATTCACCATCCCGTATCTCTTTCTCCTTTATATCAAACATTTACCTCATGATAAAACGAAAACTGAAGGTCTACCAATTTAGCCACAAAAAAGGGAGTACGTGCCATCCCAATGAAAAGAACAGACAAATTTTGCACTGACTTCAATAGAAGAAAGCAAGAAAAAAAATTCAAACAACTGAACGGTACAAATTGATGCAGACTATATAAAGTAACATGAAAAAACCTGAACTGCTTGCTAGCCCTACAAATCAAACAGCTTGTATCACCAGCAAGATGACTGGAACACAACTTCAGCATTTGTGGAATGAATCATAAATCTAGCCTCTGTGTCTTAAAAATGCTTCTATTTAAAAGATGATGCAACAAAGAAAGCACATTTGTATATACAACCAGAAATAGTGACTTGAATATTATACTGCTAAAGGCTTTTCATTTTACCTTTCATATCAAAACTTGAGTTATTTCAGTCTAAAAGTCAATCATTCAAGCATTTACTAATTAAGAAAGACATTGATGATATGGTTGTTCTAAATAACGCTTTGAATGATAAGTTATTAAAAAATTGTACAATCAGGAAGACATATTTATGGAAATATGTGTTATATCTTTTAAGGACTACACCAGCTGACAACTCTGAACTAAGAATGACCAGTGATCAGAGAAATCTTACCACAGGATGTTTTAAAAAGTTGACCTTTTAAAAGCACATGTAAAAATTCATTTCAGGGATAAACTAAACCGTAGTTCTTCAGTTCAAAGATTTTTACCATCACATTTCTGTTGTCCTTAAAATAAAATTGACTAGCTTCCAGCATTGATAATTTCCCCACTGAATTCAATGAGAGTAGCACAAAGCTTAGATAGGCATATGATGTTCTTTACATATGCAAAGTTCTTAGTTTATTGTAACTATCTTGTAGAATTTCTTTCCCCTACCCATTTTTTTCTCAGAGATTTCTGCCTAGAAGGCAGAAAGCTTAAAAGGACATAAGGAGAGAGAAGGTTGTTCAAACTCAATGCTTTGCTTTCATGCACACTGGAAGAATCTGCCAGCAGTACATTTTTACTTCATCAATTCAGCAAGAAACAAGATTGCTCTTCAGTCGACATTCAGAAGCACCAGCCTGACAATTAATACAGGCATGTGACACTGAACAAGTAAGGAGAAGCCAAAGGGAAAATCTTTTCTTAAATCCAGTCATAAACTAAGTAGAACTTAACAAGTTCACTACAAGGTTTAATTGGAAAAGGATAATTAGACATTATACTACAGCGTATATGGAAATACACTACATACGCAGAACATCACTTCTGTGGCCACTTAATGAAGCCTAAAAGATTAAAGCATGGAATCTAGGCTGGACACTATAGAGCTGCTTTTTCTACATATGTCAGACCACACTTAAGGAAATTCTTTACTTAATATCTCAATGCATCAGTCATGGCGATCAAAAATATCATTGTGGATGGAGCACTGGCTGAAACTTAGAACACTGTTTCATTTCCAGCTCTAATTAGCAGAGAATTCCTTTCTTCATCTGTCTTGCCCTTGTCTTAATGAGGGTGATTATGCTGACCCCCTTTAGAAAGCACTTGAAAATCTATGGTTAAAAATGTTCTTAAACAAGTCGTTATAACTAATAGCAATCATGTATCAAACTTCAGTTCTCAGCTCATCACATGAAAGCAAGAATCTGATTGTTCCTGGAATTAGTACACAAAATTGAATTTCTTCACCGACATTAGCTTCCTAGTACTTCCATCATTATTACAACAGCCATATTATACTAAAATGCACGAAAGAACCTGACTACCACTAACTGACATTTTGAAGATTTTCCAAGCTTTGAACAACAAAAGACCCAGGATCTTTTTTTTCCACTGAAAATTTCCATGTTAATCATTTCCATCTTGTTAAACAAAGATACTTTTGACCAGCTTCAAGCTTAGATGCTATTCTGTATCTGCAGCTTGAATTCTTGCAACAGCTCCAATCTAAAACAGGCTGGAGCACTTTGCAAATGTATTCTGCTGTTACATCCAGCAACCTCTCCCTCCTTACATGGGCTGGTCTACAAGGACACATTTTCATCACCCCTATTTATGCCACAGGTTTCTCTTCTCCTTTCGTCCACATCTATATGTTCCTTTCCTCCTTTCAGCTGCACACAGTGCCCTTAATCACTCAGTATGATTGATGTGCATGTATTTCTTTCATCTTGTGCTACTAAATAAGGAAAAAAGGTGAGAGGATTTGATATAAAATTAAGCTACTTACCAACTACTGCCAGATTATGCTCTGAGCCGCACGCGATCTGAGAAAGAAATATGAATGACTAAATGAGAACCTGCTTACCAGTAGGGAGACAGTCACAATTATGACAGGAAATTAAAAATTAACCTGAAACAAACAACTACAGTTTGTAGGATGCAAAATCAGGGTTGAAGTGCTCTCACTTTTAAATGAAATTTTATTTGTAGCCTCACACAGGGGCTTAGTGGCAGGGAGACATGTATGTTTGTTTTGTAAATAAAGAGGTGTTTTCTTTTCCAAAGGCAGCCACCAGTGACATTTCAACCCTTAGAAGAAAGACCAGTCATGATTCTGCAAAAACATCACACCCTTGACAACATCCACTGGATCCAACAAGACAGTTCACAGGCATAGAGAGAACACAGATTAAACCTTTGTGAGCTCAGAGCCACACAAAGACAGCAGGGAATCAAAAGGGCAATGAAGATCTCCATTTTTCTTATCTATACTGTTTTTCCAGAGGACCACTGAAGAACTGCTCAGAGTATACAGGCTCAGTGTGCTAAACCTGATGTGGTATGACCCCTATAGTCCTTTGTGTAGAATGGAGAAGAACTGCCATAGAACTCAACTCTTCTAGTGGCTTATTAATGATGGAAATCAGTTATGAATTTCTTTTCAAAGCAAACTCATAGTCAAGGTATTTTTCTTCCTTCTTTGCAGCTACTGTGAACATGTCTGATGTTGCTTTAGCATGTATCACATAGTATCACTCACTGAGTTTTCATGAGTTCTTCACAAATGACAGTAACACGAGCACCGAGAGCAGCCTCCTGTCCTACTGCAAGGGCTAATCTTTGCCACTGAATTCTTTTCCAATGTCACTGCTGGCATAACTGTCTGATGTAATACAGACTTCACTTTAAACACGGTTACTCTGCTGAGTGTGCTCAAGTTTTTATTTAAATGCAAGCAAACCCCTCAAAATCCTGTGTCTGGTTCTCTGTCTTGCACCTACTTGCCCATTACACCTACTACTGAGATGAAGAAAATAGTAAGTGCATTCTTCTTAAAGTACATTTGCAATGGTAAAATAAAACAGGAGTATATCCTCAATTACACTGCAAAATAGAAGTCCATGCCATCAAAGTTTTATGTGGTTTTGTGTATGCACAACTTCATATCTTTTACAGCCAGAGAAACAGCTATAACACCTTAATGTCTGCAGAACATAAAACCATAGAAGTTAACAAAACAGACCTTGTACTCAGCTCACTGTGCTTGGGTATTTACTGGAGAAGAGATACCTGAGACTGACACACAGACTAGCCTGAGTACCTGTGTTACAAATAAAGACTGTAAGCACTATTACTCAAGGCACCTGCATGATAACTGTGACAAGGAAACATTTGGGCAACGCCATACCAACACAGCAATGGCAAGGGAGACTCTTTGGGATAGAGGTACTTAGCCAACACATTAAAATGCTTGGGAAAATGGGGCAAGAAAAATAATTCAGGTCACACTCCAGCATGGCCTCATCTTCAGAAAAATCAAGACAAAGCAGCAGGAAAAGCAATGCCCTTGCAAGAGCAGGACTGCATCAAGTCTTTTATTTCACAATACTGCAGACAGGAAAAGCTCTAAGTCCTGACCATTAAAACACTTAAATCATCACCATATCCCACATAACTATCCTCACCACAAGACAGAGCCCTACACAGGAGCAGGGCTGGTTCCTAATGCCTATTCACTGGCTAATGCTCCCACCTATGCTTCTCAAGCTTAAAGGTTGATGCCATGGAAACTAGATCCACACATGGAAACACACGCAAAGGCTTTCTAGCAAAAAAGCAAATTCTTATCTTCACCAAGTGCTAAAAATTGGATATACTGAAGCCACTGCTAATAAAATAAACACGTTTGATCTGAGGTGTGAATAATCCTATCTTGGCTACTTCCCTAGGAAATATACTAACATAGGCACAGATTCAAAAGCATCGGCACAATAGAATTGCTCAGGCTTGTGGCTAATGCTGCCAGGATTCACTTCAGAAACACTACATTTAAAATTAAAAAAAAAGAAAAGCCCCATATGAAGAGGTGTTATTTAGATTGTAAATAACATTCCCTGACGAAGAAACATTTACTTCCTGTATCTAATCACAGCAGCTACAGAGCCTGCAAAGCAGATAAAAGAACACTGGTGATCTCAAACAGTTTTGCAGTCTATGCATGTGGCTGTTCCTCTGCCCACTGTTCAGAGCCACCCACTGACCAGCTACCAGGTGGTAAGGGAGTCAGTCACACCAGTGCAGGAATTGCTGTCTTACACAGACTTGCCAGTGCTGGGAGCTGCCCCCATGGCAGCCCCACACAGCCAACGCGCTGCAGCTCTGGGACCTGATGGGCACAAGCTACCAGAAAGCACAAATGATCAGTGCTGCTTCATCCCTTTTGGGCAGGTAAAAGCCACCTTGGTGGAAGTGCCAACTTTGCTAACAATGACTGAAATCAAGCAAAAATCATAAGCTGCTGAAGGCAGTGCCCTGGATTCACCTTCGACAGCCCAGAGCAAGGACAGCATATGCCATGCACCAGCAGCACTTCTGTGCTCCAATGAGGAATTTGCTAGATCGAGAGCACAAGGTTCACTGCACCTCTGCCTTATCGCAGGGTGTCACCACCTCACAACACAGACTGACTTGGTAGGAACACCCAAACAGAAAAACACCTTCAGAGGACTCTAAAGTTAGCTTTCTGGTACATCTTATTCACCATCCACACACAGGATTGCTGCTGGCCTCCATACCAGTGACTCTGGAGCTGAGGAGGGACCACACCACAGAGTTTGCTCCATGAACAGTGCTGCCTTGCATTTTTACAATCAGCTCTAAAATGTGCCACCCCCTTTTTTCTCCATGACTCCCCACAACAGGCAACAAACAGCCAAGAGTGATTGATCTGCTGGTACAAATACAGACCAGACAGAGAACAGCATTGCTGAACAGATGTTTTATACTTGTATTAGATATTATAAACTCTGCAGTCAGTGCAGGTCACTGAGAGAAGCCTGGTATTTACTGCAGCAACCATAATTTTCTGGCTACTTCTCTTCTCCATGACTCCCCACAACAGGCAACAAACAGCCAAGAGTGATTGATCTGCTGGTACAAATACAGACCAGACAGAGAACAGCATTGCTGAACAGATGTTTTATACTTGTATTAGATATTATAAACTCTGCAGTCAGTGCAGGTCACTGAGAGAAGCCTGGTATTTACTGCAGCAACCATAATTTTCTGGCTACTTCTCTTCTGTCCCCACGTGTGCTGTA